ATATATATATATATACATACGCACACATAAAGGAAGGTCGACGAGCATCGTGGAGTAGGAAGAGCAGGAGCAGTAAGGTAGTGTAGTAGCGAGAACCGGATGAGAGAGGATGGTGAGGGTGGATAGGTGTATAGAGAGGTGCGGGTATCACGGGTGGAAAGTGCCGGGGGTGCCATTAGCGGGGTGTGTTTTGCGCCCGGGTCGCGCGATCAACTGCGAACCTCTCTCCGTCCGAGAGGGAGGACGAGAGGAGCCCTCTATTGTTGCCGCTTTACCCGGCATGCATATTTAACGCCTGCGCCCCCTCCCTCTAATTCCGTTTCGCTCGCCTCTCTCTCTCTCTCTCTGTTTTCTGGCCACCAACTCCGCCACCCAACCTCTATCGCGCTTTAATTTCCGCGCCTCGAATCACGCCGTACGAGCGCGCGTTACACGGCCACACGTGACACTTCGAAAGAATGCGGCGAAGCCAGGGATGATCGCACCAATCTATGCTATTATGTCACGATGATAATTTCACTTTTTCCTATATCGTATAAATCGATTAATTATGGAGGGGGGAGGATTATCGTAGCATCTGAGATTTGGTTGGAAATTTTTACGGGTTTGGAAAAAAGCGGACGCTGGTGGCGAGCGTCCAACCGTGTATCGCCCGACCGTATCGATTCCTCTAATCGAGCGGCCGTTACGCTGTTTCCGCTGGAACAAACGTTATTTTCCGCGCGACGGTCCCTTAATCGCGTTATCATCGGCGAGCAACGGTTTTCAACGTTGTTAAATCCCCGAAATTTCGTGCTGGAAGACGAACGAGGGGAGCATACGCACGCGAGGGGAGCATCTCGTAACAATTTTTAGCTCTCAACTTCGAGCGCGCCCTTCTCTCGGTTTACGTTAAACACGTCACGTGACGAATAATAAATTCGCTCCCCTCTGATGACTCCTCTGACGAGTTCATCAGAGGGTTTAATCGCGATTTCATCGATAAAAAAGGCGAATTCTTTCGTCGAAATAACTGGGGAGGGGGGAGAAGGAGGGAGAGAAAAATTGGACGTAGAAGGGATGGCTTTGGTAGGAAACGACGGCGTTATAATTTATTTTTACACCGCAATCACCATGATAAATACTGGGGCGGACAATGGGGTACGTCCACGTCAAAAACGTCGATATGAACATCGGCGGACAAAACGGCGCAACAGCGAGGAGTCACGGGACTGGATTTTCTACGCGACGATTAATTGTTATCGTTCCACGCGGTCCTCTCTCCATTGTCGGGCCAGGAGATGAAAACGCCAGCTAACAATAACGTCCCTAGGACTAACTGGCCGGTGGCGAGTCGTATTATGCCTTCGAGAGACGAGCCGATCTCTCTCTCCAACGAACGAACGAACGAACGAACCAATATACCTTTGTTCTTATTACGTCCAACGTTATCGAGCGTGCGATTGTTTTTTCCTTTTTTTCTCTTTTTTCGAAAATAAAACACTCCTTTTTCGTATCCAGTTTATACACACGATATATTTCCGAGGTATTTTTTCCGAGGGGGACAAGCGTATCGAAAAAAATGTAAACGAGAGGGAAGCAAAAGTGTAAACAAACGAATCAAATTCCCAAATAATTTCTAACGAAAACCAATTAAATTCCGTTACCACTCGAACACTTTTCCTATCCTGTGCGATCATTTTAATCCACTTTGTATCCTGTGCTTGGCCGTTAACGAGAATCGTTGTTCAAACTATATATATATATATATATAAGGGCTGTACATGGATGAAGAGGAGAGTAGCCGGCCGAATATACACGTCCTAACGACGTTCGAATTCCATCGGGTTACATGGAGCCGATATAAAAAGCAGTGGCCGTATCCGATACGTCGAGTATCGTAATATCGTTGGACCACGATAATGAAACACGGATGAAGCGATGGATGACCGTTTGCCCGTCAAACGATGGAATTTAATATATTGTCCGGGCTAACGTACAATTAATTATCGGGCCAGCTTGTACGCGGATACGGGAGAATGATCATAGAGTGAATAGGCCGATACTCATATTGTTTGATCATTAGCCTCGTTAATTATTGCCCACGTAGCCCCTCTCCTCGCCGCTTTGCGTCGCGCATCTGTCACTCTGTCGTCGTCAAACGCGAACCACCCAGTTAACAACCCGTGCGAAAAAACGATCATGCGAAAATCGTTCGAGGGGGCAATAAGAAAATCGTTATGCATGTCGCGCGTGTACACTTTCGATCGATTCATAATCACTTACAACTAACGATTTATCGTGCGAAATCTCGCACGCTTGAACTCTCCGTCTCTGTCCAATTGACGCGAAAATAAAACAGCGGCGTGGAAAAAGCGGCTCGAATTCGAACCGTTCCATGTAAAATTTCGAAAATTGAACGATCGTGCGGGGGAATACGAGAGGATGGCAGCATCGGTCGTGGCTTAGGCTCGTGCGTTGCGAAATTTTCGGGCGGAAGTCGCGCGAGGACAGGTCCAACGCGAGAAGATTAAGAAGGAAAAACTTATCTTCGCGTTCGCGAAAAGATGGAGCGTAAAAAAAAAAAAAAAAAAAGAAAAGAAAAAAAGAAATCACGGACGGAAAATTCGGATGGAGATCGTTTTGAGAATTCAAGGGGCGGCGAAAGTTTGCGCGCTGACGCCACTCCATCCACCGCAAAGTTTACGGCGAGGCAACTAGCCGGGAAAACGGGGGGGAGGGGGAAAAAAAAAATTTGGGAAAAGCAGCAACGCGAGCGACACCGCGAGCGTAACGAGGTCGAGCTAAACGCGTTATTTAACGGGCGACGAGCAACGCTTTGGGAGGAGGAATGTCGACGGCGCATTCGCGTTTCAGCCGCGCGGATATTTCGAAATCGAACGAAACGGCGAGACAACTTTTCCCATCCGCGATCTTCGTTCGAGTCGCGCGACTTTAATCCTCGACTCGACGAAATTCATTACGAAGAGGAAATTGAATGACTGGAGGAAACGCGGTTAAGCAAGTCCGTGAATTATTTAACGTCGAATTCGTCTCGTTACAACAACGTTGCAACGGCGCGTCATTAAGGCTGGACGATGTTTGTATGACCGAAACGTGCGGTGGTCGCGTGGCGCGACGAACTCGAGCGTGGAGAGAGAGAGAGAGAGAGAGAGAAAGAAAAAGAGAGAAGAGCGGAGGGTGAATTACGATCGACGCGCGACTTTACGATCTGGCTGGGAAGGTTTTCGGTTTGGAAACGCCGGATCGACAACGTCGCTATTCATCGTGACCGCGAATAATTTATTATATTGGCAATTCACACGGGTCGCGCTTCACTCCTCCCTCCCCCGGATGCTCGTGCACGTCCGCCGGATTTATTTCAATTTATTCGATCAACCGAACAATCGCTGTCCATTTAATATTACTTCGCTTCGCTCTTCGCGCCGACCCACCCCTTCCTCTCTCCGCTCATTTTTAATAGGGCGCGATTAAACTCGTTTGCCGTTCGCGATAATTTACAAATTTCCGTCGCAACTTTTCCGTTCGAATCTGCCGAGACAAAAGTTGACTCGTTCGTTCGAAAATAAGTAGATCGGCGGGAGGAGAAAACGAATGGAAAACGTTGCGATAAATAAAACGTTTCGTTCGCAAGATATTCGTTGGTCGCGAACAACAATTTTCCATCATGGTTGTAAATTGATGCGTTGTCCTCCACTTCCACATCTCGCGGGAGATATCCAACTTTCTGCTACAACAGTGTTCTCGTCGAACGTCGAAAATCAGATTAACGAAATGTTATCTTTAGACCGCGAGATGAGATTACCTTTCGTCGACGTCGCGATGGGATATTCGTCCTTTGACAAATATTAAATTTCCCCGGGATGAACCGTGAACGGGAGAGAGAATTAATTCGATCGCGATCACGCGAATTTTGTACGAATCAAATTTTCTCGGCACGAGTCGAGAAAAGAGAGCGCGACGCGTCTTGTTTGTCGCTTTCGCCAGTTCTCCAATTCGCAAGATGTTATATTCGAATTAAATTTTCATTCGCCCCGTTTTTTAATAACCTTCCTCCACGTTTCACAGGTTCCTCCACGTCCCGATATTTACCTACATAACAACCCTTCCCCCTTCCTTCAATACTGTTTAATCAAATTCTCGACAATTCGAACCGACGATGCTCTCTTTTATATAGTCCCGATTTCGCTCCGTCCTCTGAACGAATCATCGAAAGGATCTTATATATCCATGCGTAATTGTATTCGTCGATCGATCAAGATTTTTTTTCGAGTGATTCTAACTAATTCGTCGCTTCGATACCGTGCCAGTTTCTCGTGTCCTCCTCCCCCCCCAGTTTCGGTACTTCTCGTGGTGGAGCCGGTTTTAATTAGATTTTCAATTAGATTTTAAAATGTAGGCGGACCGTCGCGAACAGCCGGCTTTGTCAACGGCACGCGTGCGAGTAAATTACTTTCAGCGACGATTACCTACCGCGATTAAAGCGGGCTCCTGTGCAGATATGGCGCTTGCACACGGCCCCGTACGCCTGCAACCAGCCTCGTTTCCCGCCAACTCCTCCTCCCTCCACACGCATCCTCCCCCCTCCCCGCGGCGCTCGTTCACCGACACTATTTCCGTCCCACCGACGCCACTTCCTCTTTCTCCGTCTGCTTTCCGTCAACTCGCTCTTCGACGAGGGCTCTTCACGAATGCACGCGATTACCGGAAGTTCGTCGGCGGAATTGCACGTTTCCCGAGAGAGAGAGAGAGAGAGAGAGACGAGGAATAGTCGCGTTCGAAGCGAAACAATGCGTCGCGGATCGTCGACGATCTCGAACAGCGTCGTTTTTCTTTTTTTCTCTCTCTCTCTTTCTCTCGTTTCTTCACTCTCTCGCTCCCTTATTTTCATCTCTCGATGGAACCATGGATGGATGGATGGATGGATGGATGGGTGGATGGATGGATGGAGAAGCAACGTAATCGTCGAGACATTCCACTTTTCGCGAACTCGATCGATCATGGCTCGTGAAACATATTGAGGTGATTTCTAAGCGATTCCTTCCCTCCTCAGAGACGAGTTCCAAAGATCATCCTCGAACGATCTTCGATCCTGTGTTTCGATCGTCGAATCATTTTCGCATCTTGATTCGTTGCCACGATCCACGTGTCGTATATTTAATTTGACGAGTTGAAATTATAATCGACGTCTTTCAAAGTATACAGAGTTAGTTACAGTGGAGATATAATTATATAATACGCCGCTTTCTCGTAATACGCACGATATCACCTGTTAACTGTACGTGATATCTCGCGGGACGCCCGATTCGATCTAATTTGCGACCGAGTTTGGCTCGGTCCACGTCAGATCCAGTCGCGACTTTTACGAAATCCCTCTCCCCCTCTCCAAAATGATAACAACGAGGGTCGTTTAAACTCGCAGCTGTTGACGCTGCTGCAGCATCGAATTTTCTCGAAAATTTTCCGCCCCTTCTTCCCTTGCCCATCCCTTCCCTCCCCTCCCTCCCCTCCCCCCCGATTTCAATAAAACGCCTCGGGGTTCCTCGGGGTAAAGCGTTGACTCGCACCAGCCAGCGAGTTGGCGAGTTAATATCTTTATGAAACGATAAGGCAAGGGGATAATGAAACCAACGAAAGGGTCGCGTGATTAAGTGCCTCGCCGTCTCGCGATAAATGAATTCCGGCTGCTGGCGAACCATTCGCGAACCCTCCCTCCCTCCCTTCCCCCCGCTGACTAAGGCGTTAAATATTTTGAGAAAATGACTGGTCCCCTTCGCCTCGAAACCCTCAACTTTTCAATTATCCCCCTTTCGCTCTCGATTTTCTCTCCGCTTATTCTCCACGCTACACAGATGGATAGATAGCTAGGTAGGAGCTGGGTGAGCGAGAAACAACAAAGTTTACGCCTGTTTGAAAGACAAAGCGCAAGTTCGCTGGGGAATGTTAAATCCCTATCGAACGAGAGATTGCGGTATACAGTCAATCGCAAAAGTACGCTCGAACGTTGCGTCTTATGCCAGGAAGATTCATTCGCCTGATTAATGAAAACTTATTCGATAAATTTATTTTGCGAAAATAAGAGAGCGAAATTTTTCTCATTGTCGTGCAATTTCGTTGGGAAATATCGTTTGATATGGAACAAGGTTAAGTTTCCTTGAATTTTTTACAATTTGAAATTTTGCTCCGTACGTCCGAAGTTTAGAAAATTTAAGGATCGATTTCACTTCTTCTATAAATGACCCACGTGTTCGTTTCACGTGTATAAAACGGAATCACCTTCCATCGAATTCGTTGTATATAACGTGTATATAAACGCGTATATAACCTCTTTTCGCGATTGACTGCGAATCGATGCGCACGATATCGTGAGAACGAGGCGTATATAATATAATCTTCCCAACGAGATGCTTGACGAGCAGTGAAAATTTCCCACTTACTTTACTTTATACGGGGGGGGAGGGGGCGGGGGGGAAGGAGATATACGTTTCAACGAAAGTCCAACCTTTATTTAAACCACCGTCGTTAACTCGTCTTTCCTTGAACCGTTCGAAGATTTCGTTCGTACGGGGAATTCATCGAAGGATCCATCTGGCGGCGGTTTCACGAAGTCTGTGCGGAGCACGTGAAACGCTTTCAATTGCTCGTTTTACGATGAAAATCAACATTGGGAAGCCGGACCGAACGCGAGCAAATATCATCCAAGTTCCCCTTCGCCCGGAACTCTCTGTTATTCGCTCCTTTTTTACACCGACCGGTAATAAAAAGGCAAATGAAAAAGAAACTCGCGCACTCTCTACTCGAGCATAGGCCACGATTATTTGACGTGCGTCGTACAACGCTGGTGTAGTACATCCCCCCTCCTTCCTCCCTCCCTCACTTTCCCCCGTCGCTCCGCGAAAATACACACGTGAGCGTGAGCTGATTAAACGTTTGCATGTCCGGCGAAAGGAGCGAAACAAACGCGGACAAAGTGGGGAATAATTTTCGCTAAAAACTCAGGGAGAGATCATAGAATTAATTCCTTCGTCTTTCTACTTTTCATCCATGACGGATATCGACGTTTAAATCGCTCGCTCGTTTCTTTAGAGAGAGAAAGAGAGAGAGAGAGAGAATCGAAAACAGAGAAACGAGTATTGGAAGGGAAGGGGCCAGAGTTAAATCGTCAGGCTTGAGATTATATCAACCTGGGTCGCGGGAGAAACCGATTCGACTCGAAGCCTCATTTAGAGGTGCCGGGAAAATTCGGTTCAAAGACCCGCGCTTGGCTTGCAGCGAGCAATGAATCTTTCAACGATGGCTCTATCCTTCTCGTTTTATTACACCCCTATCTGTCGGTCTCCAAAGTGCCAATTACGCAGCCGAGAGAGAGAGAGAGAGAGAGAGAGAGAGTAGTTCTCTCGATCGTCCGT